TCCGTAATGCTTTATGAATTTTCTATTAATTCTCATTCTATGTTTTTTTTGTCGATCTGCATTCTCAGAATCTAACCCCAAAATATTATTTCCTAATCCAAAAAAAAAAATCTATAAGAGAATCCACATACTCCGTCACTCTCCCACTCTTCTTCAACCTATCTCACGAACCGCGTAGAAATGGACACAGATAACAAAACTCGAGAAGAGGCCATTTCCTACCACTCTTCTCTCCGTTCAGGTGCCATTTTGCTCTCCCATCGAATGTTTTCTATTTGTCGTATGTTTATGTTGAAACAAAGGATTCAAGAAAGATGATTTTGTGAAAACAAGAATGAAGAAGAAGAAGAGAGAGAGAGAAAAATGATGAGTTAGTTAAGTGTAACTAACTATCTAACTGATTTATATTATTGTTGCTACTGCACTGCTATTATAAACACAATGGCCTTTTATATAGGCAAAATAGTTCAGACTCAAATACATGCTAAAAGCCCAAATAACTACATAATAAGAATTAACCAACTAGCACATCCCCTTAATTTATGTTATCAAGACTTCTCATCCCAATGTCTTTCTTTAACTCTTCGAACCTCACTTTCTTCAGAGGTTTGATGAATATGTCAGCTAGTTGCACTTCTGTCTTGCAATGTTTTATTTCAAGCTTCCCTTTGTTGACTTGATCCCTCAGAAAATGATACCTTCTTTCAATGTACTTACTTCGACCATGACACACTGGGTGGTTCGCAAGGTTTATAGCTGACTTGTTATCAACAAACAACTTCATCTTCGACTCCATTATTCTGAGTTCCTCAAGTAGCATTTCAATCCATGCTGCTTGGCATGCAGCATATGATGCTGCCACATATTCTGCTTCGCATGATGACAAAGCTACAATGTTTTTCTTCCTCGAACTCCAGGAGATTGGAGCTCCTTCGATCATGAAAATGTATCCTGCATTACTCTTCTTTTCATCTTGATCTCCACTGAAGTCTGAGTCAGTGTATCCATGAACTTCGACATCTGTGTTGTTCTTCGATTTCTTTGGTAACAACACACCATGATCAATAGTTTTCTTTATGTATCTCAACACTCTTTTCACTGCGATGAGATGACATTCTTGAGGCTTCTCCATAAATCTCTTCAACAATCCTACACTTTGACAGATATCTGGTATAGCATTGCAAAGATACCTCAAAGATCCAATGACTTGTTTGTAAAGGGTCGAACTTACAAACTCATAATTCGATTCCTTCTTCAACTTTGCTCCATTCTCTAATGGAGTAACAGCTGCCTTACAGTTGCTCATATTGAACCTCTTCAGTATATCTTGAGCATACTTCATTTGATACAAGAGAACTCCTTCTTCAATGTCTTTGAATTCCATTCCTAGGAAATAAGAGAGATTCCCTAAATCAGACATTTTAAATTCCTACATTAACTTCGACTTTACCTTCATTATCTCAGCTTCGTCTGCTCCTGTAATGAGTAAGTCATCAACATAGAGACATAAAATAATTCGATTGAAAGTTTCGACATCATTTACATACACTCCCTGTTCAGAGACACACTTTATGAGACCTGCTTCGATTAGGAAGCTATATGTCCTTTTATTCCAAGCTCTAGGAGCTTGCTTCAAGCCATAGAGAGTCTTCCTTAATATGTAAACTTTCGACTCCTGCCCTTTGACGTCGAAACCTGGTGGTTGAGTAACGTAGACTTCTTCTTCTAATGGACCATTCAAAAATCCTGACTTTACATCAAGTTAGTGCATTTCCATCCTCTACATGTAGCTATCGAAACAACAATCCTGATTGTTTTGATCCTTGCAACAGGCGCATATACTTCATCAAAGTCAATACCAGATTTTTGTAAAAAACCTCTGGCCACCAGTCTTGCTTTATACTTTGCAATCTCACCATTTGGCCTTCATTTCACCTTGTAGATCCATTTCACATTTATTGGTTTCTTGTTGGTTCTTTCAACAAGCTCCTAAGTCTTATTCTTATCAATGGCTCTAAGTTCTTCTTTCATGCCTTCACACCAATTCGAATTGCTCAAGGCTTCACCCAAATCAATTGGTTATGCTTCAGCCATCATCATGGCTTCTTCAATTAAGTCACCATTTGCATCGATTGATTGATCTGGAAACCTCTCATATCCAATCAGCCTAGTCGACTCAGTTCTTGTTCTTATGGATCTTCTTTCATTCTGCACAGGTGGTTCTTCATTTCGACTTGTCGAAGCTTCGTTCTGTTCATCTTCTTCAAACACAGTTTTGACTGTGTCTGATTCATGTCGAACTGAACTTCGACCCCAATCCCATCTTTTGCTTTCGTCTACAAGAACATATCTATTGATCACTAGTTTATCTTCAATTGGGCACCAGTCGAATGATAACCTATGAGCACCGTGACTTCACTTCGATCACCCAACTTCTTTCTCAATTGTTCAGGTACATACCTGAAACACATTGATCCAAAAATTCTAAGATGACTTACATTTGGCTTCGACCATGTCCAAGCCTCATGTGGTGTCTTTTCGACCATTTTCTTCGTTGGGCATCTATTTAGAATGTATACTGCTGTCGAAGCTGCTTCAGCCCAAAATCTCTTAGGCATATTCTTAGCTTTCAGCATACATCTCGTCATGTTCAGTACATTTCTATTCTTTCTCTCAACTATGCCATTATGCTGAGGCGTATAGAGTGCAATAACCTCATACTCTATACCTTCCTCATTGTAAAATCTAGCAAATTCAGCAGAAGTATATTCACCACCACCATCAGTTCTTAACTTCTTCAATTTGCAGCCACTTTGTTTCTCAGCATGCAACTTGAACTTCTTGAACTGTGTGAATACCTCGCTCTTTCTCTCAATAAGGTAAATCCACATATGTCTGGTGAATTCATCAATGAAAGTAAGGAAATATCTGTTACCTCTATTGGATTTTACTTCAAAGGGTCCACACACATCTGAATGAACCAGCTCTAGTTTTTGCCTTGATCTTATAGGCAAGTTACGTTTAAACGCCTTCCTTGCCTGTTTGACTTTGCAACATTCCTCACATATCTGCTTTGGTTCCTTCACATACGACAACCCAAGTACCATTCTTTTCTTATTAAGCATACATAAACTCTTGAAGTTTAGATGTCCATACCTGTGATGCCATAGCCAGTTCTTGTCTTCTTCTGTAGTTGAAGCAAGACATTTGTGATCTGATATGTTGAGTTCAATCTTGAATGTTTTATTCTCAGCCAATGGTGCTTTCATAATTAGCCTCCCACTAGCCCTATATACCTTCATCTGATTATTCTTCAACTTTATATTGAATCCTTTTGCAAGTAATTGACTTACACTTATCAAGTTACTTGTCATCGAAGATACATATAGAACTTCAGTGATAGTAGCCTTTCAACCATCCTTTCTGATAATTGAAATATCTCCTTTACCACCTGACTTGATATGGCTGCCATCTGCAAACTTTATCACCTTTTAGACTGATTCATCTAACTTGGTAAACCAATTTTTATTGTCAGTCATGTGGTTGTTACATCCTGAATCCAGATACCACATGTTGTTTTTCTCAATATTCGACTGAGTGTTCACCAGCAACAACACATCATCAGAGTCACTATTTCCAGCTCATGCATATTGAGCTTCATCACTATCTTTCGACTTTGCAGCTTTCTTTCTTCGACAGTCTTTAGCATAGTGGCCAAAACCTTGACAATTGTAACATTGCACCTCTTTCGTGTCAACTTTCTTCCCAGAATACTTGTTACCCACACCTTTCGAATCAGTATTCTCATCACCAGCAAGATTCTTTCGCTGCTTCGACTTCTCTTTTCTAGCTTTCTTTCTGAATCTTGATTGTAATGCTTGTTCAACTGTCTTCTCTCTTTCTGAGTTTCTCTATTGCAGCCTCATTTCGTGAGCCTCCAATGAAGCTTGAAGTTCTTCCAACTTTATCTCATATAGATTCTTGGCCTCTTCAATTGTCACAACAAAGTAATCAAAATCTGTAATTAGAGATCTCAATACCCTTTCTATCTTTTGCAGATCCGTAAGCGCTTCACCACACACCTTCATCTGGTTTGTTAGCGCCACAACTGTTGAGAAATATGTAGAAATAGATTCATCCTCTTTCGTCTGAAGCATCTCATACTGCTTCCTCAAAGTCTGCAACTTCACCTTCTTCAGTTTCTCATCTCCACCATACAAAGATTTCAGCTTTTCCCAAGCTCCTTTTGTTGTTTCTTCTTCAATTATCTTCTCAAATACATCATAATCCACATACTGGTGAATCAAGAACAGCGTCTTACCATCTTTCTTCCTCTGACCTTTGTGCACATCTTTCTGGGTTTCCGTAGCATCTACATCCAGTTGTGATATTCTATCATTCAAGATTTCTACAACATCTTGAAATCTGAAAATAACTTTCATTTGTGTCACCCATCGTTGATAGTTTTCACCTTTAAAAACCGATAAATTTGGTTGAAACTGTGTTGATGTTGTTGATCTGTTTGCCATTAGATTCGCTCTGAATCACAAACAAGCTCTTGATACCAATTTGTTGGAACAAAGGATTCAAGAAAGATGATTTTGGGAAAATAAGAATGAAGAAGAAGGAGAGAGAGAGAGAGAGAGAGAGAGAGAGAGAGAGAGAGAGAGAGAGAGAGAGAGAGAGAGAGAGAGAGAGAGAGAGAGAAATGATGAGTTAGTTAAGTGTAACTAACTATCTAACTAATTTGTATTATTGTTGCTACTGCACTGCTATTACAAACACAATGGTCCTTTATATTGGCAAAATAGCTCAGACCCAAATACATATTAAAAGTCCAAATAACTACATAACAAAAATTAACCAACTAACGTTCATCCAACGCCAACCAAGATTTAACCCAGAAATCGCTACTCAACTCGACCGCATGCTCGCAATGATCGATGTCTTGGAGGCCACATAACTCCGAGTTGGTCCAGGAAATAACCTTACCGATCACTATGCTATACTCTAAATCAAACCCTCCAACAACACCAGAAACAGTGATTTCATGCGGATACAAGACTCTTGTTCAGAAGCTTGACCCAAACAAGAACAAGTTTCCTTTAGCAAAAGAAGCCCTCATGAAAGTCCTTGAATCCTGGCAAGTTCTCTCCGATCCGGTTCAGTTAGACCGATTCAAAAAGGAGATTAAGGGAGAGGCTGAGGTTGTTTCACGAGCTTCGTTTTGGACTATGTGTCCGTAGTTGCATGAGTATGAGAAGAAATATGAAGATTGTACCTTCGGTGTGGGAACTGTCAGAGGACATTTCACGGGACTCCGATGAAGCCGCCAGAGCGGGAGTCCATGGTGGATGGGAAAGAACAGTACTATTGCTATCACATGAGTTTGCCCTTAAGGTACCCTGTGGATGAAAATTGTAGCTTTGAATTTGGGGGTAATGGGGGTAGGAAGATGAGGTTAAAAACTGTAGCTAATAGGTCTAAAGTGAAACTTGTTGTTCTGGATAGTGAATCTGAATCTCCTTTTCGAACCGGTTCGTGAGATAGGTTGAAGAAGAGTATGTGGATTCTCTTATAGATTATTCTTTTTTGGGTTGGGAAAAAACATTTGGGGTTAGATTCTGAGAAGGACAAAAAAAATAAAATGAGCATGCACCTTATAAATTCTCTTGATATAATAATTATTGTATTCCTTTTTTTTTCTTAAATTAATATTTCTACATGTTATTTTATTTTGAATGATAAACTTTTTTCAATATTTTATTCTTTCCAACTTTTAAGCTCTCAGTCTCTCATTTTCAATATATAGTTACAAATCCATTTTAATCACATTAATCTACAAGGGTCTTCTCTCTCATTTCAAAGAATGAACAATGAAGGAAATATTGCTTATGGTCAAGAATTGGCTTACCTGCGGATTATTAGAGACAATATCAATGTAAGTATCACTCTCATTATTAGAAATATTCGGATTTCCTGCGAATTTGAGTAAACATTCCGCAGAAAACACGTTTTGCTGCGGTTTTTTCTGTTGTTTTTCCGTAGGAAATAATCCACAGCTAATTTCTATCTCGAATTAAATAATTTTTTTATTTTTAAAATATTATAAATTATATATTAAAATAATCATAATATAAAAGTAAAAATTTAATTTAAAATGCTTTGAATTTAAATAAGACAAATTCATAAAACAATAATTTACCATAAAAGCTATTACAAAGTTTGTAACAAGTTCTTACATAATCACATTACTAAAAATGACTCAACCAACGACAAATTCATAGAACAACAATTTACTATAAAAGCTATTACAAAGTTTGTAATAAGTTCTTACATAGTCACGTTACTAAAAACGACTCAAACAATTAAGCTATTAATATTCATTTGTCCATCCAACTTAAAAAGATAAAACTATCCAAATTCTTTTCGAGTAAGTTGAGGTGTAGTGAGTTGAGGTTGAGTAACTTCATGTTGCATAGATATATAACCTTTCTCACAATTCTTCTTCTTGGACTTTTTTAGCGGCATAGTTTGCAAGAATTCAAAGGATTTCAAAACCTGAAAAGATAGAGTGCAAAATCAAAATAACTTTCGTTAATAGGAGAAACAACATGAAAAGTGATGCCTTAATCACTTTCAAATAAAAAACCTTTAAAGAGGAAAATATGAAAATTTGCAAGATCTTCGGTTCCAAACTAATATACAAAAAGTAATATGAAGACAAAATCTATTTTCAGATTTATTGAGTATCCTTTATTTCCATTAACGTACAAAGTTGATCTTGTCTCATATCATAAACCTGGAAAAAGCTCCTTCAAAATGAACTTGTTAAAAAATGCACATAAAGATATATTCACCCTATAATTTAAGTTAAGATCACAATGAGCTTTAGATTAAATCAAGATTTTAAAATGGACTCAAAGGAACCTTCAACAACAACCACCCAAAAAACATACATACATAGTCACACGCACATAGAAAAATGAAACAAAATTACAAAAAAAAAAAACCCTTGAAAAGGACTAGGCTTAGAATCCATGCAGTTATGGAATGGAACCCTGGTAATGATACATGACAAGATACTGAAAGTTCTATTAATCTTTTATAGTAACTATCGAAATAATTTAAATCCAATAGAATTAATATTAACAAAGAACTATAACCTCTGACACTTTCCATGTTCACTTGATGGAAAGATGCATGATGATTCTATATCTAATTTCTCAAATTGTTCCCGATAAATGCAGTTCTTACATTCTTTTATTGGAACTAACATCAGGCATTTTTTTTCCTATTTCGTATCACCACCAGACAACTTAACTACTTAACTACTCTGAAACATGTATCGTGTAGGAAAAGCACACAAAACCAAATCCTTTGCTTATCCCTTTGTCATCTCGCATAACTTTTGCAGAAGTTATAGTGCCGCATGCACAAAAATGATCCCGCGGTCCTTCATCACTTACAGTGTCATCTATATTCTTCATATGAATGTTTGAGCCCTGGTAGTTAAACGAGACACTCTAAGACAACTGAAGAGAAAAATGGCTTATTATATATGACAGTTGTAAGAAAGTTACTATATATTTCAATACCTGCTCCTTTCGTTTCTCTTCGAATTGTTGATGCAAGATCTGCTCACGCTCAGCCTTCTTCTGTGCCCTGGATACACAAATAATCTTTGAACCCGTTGATACAAACAAAAACAGATAACACACAGAATCAATATCGAGAATTTTCAACTTTGCCAAGCCTAAAACCTACACAGTAATAGAATAAATAACTACCAAGTTTCAATCCATTCATTGCTTCCATTGCTTCTTCATGTACAGGTTTGTATATCCAGCATCAGGGCCAGACATTATTGGAAATGTAATTTAGTTAATGTCTACAATTCCCAATGCTTATTCTTTATTAGGGCCTTTTGGCATTTTCAATTTTAGTATAAATATGTTACCTAAGCTATCAATATTGTAACTCATTCACTCCTCTATTTGATATACAATAGAAGTCCTCTTTGTTATCATTCATTGCTCATTCTTCTTCTCCCCTTTCATTACCTTGCACCAACAAATTGGTATCTAGAGCACTTGGTTCTGTTTTTCTGAGAAGCACGAGTGTTTGTGAGCTGTGTGTTTGATTTTGGTACACTGATTTTCTGTTGAAATCTTGAACAAAATCTGAACAGAATCTGATTATGTGGGTTGGGAAACAGTGTGTTTGAAGATCTAAAAAATCCGTGCAAGGTTTAAAATGAGTGGAGACAGTAGTTTGAACACCAAACTTCCAGTCTTTAATGGTAAAAACTGGAACAGATGAATGATACAAATGGGTGTATTGTTTGGTGCACAAGATGTTCTGGATCTGGTTACAGATGGTTATGTATCAGCTGCAGCAGATGCAACTGAAGAACAGAGAACTGCTGAGAGGTTGATGAGGAAAAGGGACCAGAAATTTCTGTTCTATATCCATCAGTGTGTGGATGAAAGTGTGTTCGAGAAGATTGTTGACTCAACAATGTCAAAAGGGGCGTGGGATTTATTGGGGAGATGTTACGATGGTGACGCATCAGTAAAGAAGGTGAAGCTTCAATCCCTATGAAAGCAATATGAGAACATGAACATGAAGAGCAGTGAGAAAGTTTCTGAGTATATCTCCAGAGTGATTCTGATCACTAACGAGATGAAAGCGTGTGGAGAAACTCTATCTGAACAGGAAATCATAGAGAAGATTCTGAGGTCGCTTACTCTTCAGTTTGATTACATTGTTGTTTCTATTGAACATTCTAAAGACCTGGCAACTATCAGAATAGAAGAATTGCAAAGCATCTTAGAAGCACAGGACTTACGTTTGTCTGAGAGAACTTCTGAGAGGGATGCTAAGCAAGCTCTGAAGACATCTTTTGTCAAGAAAGACCAGAAGCAGAATAGACGTGGTGATAGATTCCAGAAGTCAGAAGCATCAACTTCTGATGATAAGAAATATCATAAAGGAAAGGAGAGGTATGACAAAAGGAAGGTTCAATGTTACTCTTGTAAAAAATTTGACCATTTTGTCAGAGATTGTAGGTCAAACAAGGAAAGGAAATCAGAAGAAGCATATATGGCTAAGAGAAACTCTGATGATGAACCTGTACTTCTAATGGCTTCTGATTCTGATGGAAAATGATCAAAAGATTGGTGGTATATGGACACTGGTTATTCAAATCATTTGACTGGAAACAAACAATGGCTGACAGACTTTGACTCCAGAAGAAGAACAAAGATCAGATGTGCTGACGATAAGTATCTTAATGCAGAAGGTATGGGAGATGTCAGAGTTAGAGTGAAGAATGGGAAAGACATTCTGATCAAAGACGTTTGGTATGTCCCTGGTATTAGAAGCAATCGGATGAGTGTAGGTCAGCTGATTGAGAAAGGTTTCTCAGTTGTTATGAAAAATAATCTTCTGACGTTGTATGATTCCAATCAGAAGTTAATTATGAAGTCTGAACAAGGAGGCAACAAAACATTCAAGGTAAATGTAGAAACAGCTGAAGCAACGTGCCTTAGTGAAGAAGGCGCTGAAAGTAACAGTAAGTTGTGGCATAAGAGGTTGGGACATTTGAACTATAGAAGCTTAGGGCATATATGTTCTAAGAAGCTTGTACATGGTATTTCAAAGATTGTGAAGCCTGAGAAGTCATGTAAGATATGCATGAAAGGCAAGCAACCTAGATTGCCATTTACATCAGAAGTAGCCCCCAGAGCGAAGCATGCTTTGGGAGTAGTACATTTTGATGTGTGTGGGTCATTTCCAGTACCTTCACTTGGAGGAAACAATTATTTTGTGTCTTTTATGGATGAGTTCACAAGAATGACATGGGTAACACTCATCAAGTTCAAGCATGAAGTGTTTATTGAGTTCCAGAAATTCAAGGTGAAGGATGAGAAGCAGAGTGGTCAGAAGTTAAAAATTCTGAGAAAGGATGGTGGAGGTGAGTATAACTCTACAGTGTTCCAGAAGTTATGTGAGGAGAGTGGAATAGAACATGAGGTTACTACTCCATATACTCCTTAGCACAACGGTCTTGCTGAAAGAAGAAACAGAACTTTGCTTGATATGACCAGAAGCATGCTGAAAGAGAAAAAGCTACCTCACGTGCTATGGGGAGAAGTTGTTGCTACATCAGCATATATTCTAAACAGGTGTCCAACAAAGAAACTAAAGGAAGTTGTTCCTTTAGAGAAATGTACTGGAGATAAGCAGAGTGTCAGTCATCTGAAAGTGTTTGGCTCTGTCTGTTACAAACACGTTCCAGAAGTTAGAAGACAAAAAATGGATGATAGAAGCAAAGTAATGTTACTGGTGGGGTACCACAGTACAAGTGCGTATAAGATTTATTTTCCAGAAACTAATAAGGTTGAAGTCAACAGAGTCGTTGTGGTGAAAGAGTCTGAAACATGGGATTGGAACAAATCTCAATCAGATTCTGGTGTAGTACCAACACCAGACTTAGCCTCTGAAGATGTTTTAGAAAGTTCAGAAGATGAATCTGATCTTGAAGATTCTGAAGATGAGTCAGAAGAAGATTCTGGAAATGGATCTGATTCTGATCCAGATGCTGATGATGATCCAGAATATGGTGGTGATAATAGTTCTGGAAGGGAAAACTCTGAAGGTGATAACTCTGAAAGTAGTAGTTCTGGTGCAGCTTCAGAACAAGCTCAAAGACCACAGAGAATCAGACAAAAACCAAGAAGGTTTGCAGATTTTGACATGTTGCAGGATAATGAAGTTGACTCTGAAGGAGAAGTCGTTCAGTGTGCCATGTTAGTAGATTCTGAACCAGTGAGCATTGAAGAAGCGCTCAAGAAGAAAGAATGGCTTAATGCCATGAAAGAAGAACTTGAGGCGATAGAAAGGAACAAAACTTGGAAATTGACTAAACTTCCAGATAAGAAAAAAGTCACCAGCGTTAGATGGGTTTTTAAGTTGAAACTTAAGTCAGATGGTTCCATTTGAAAGCACAAAGCTAGACTAGTAGCTAGAGGTTTTCTTCAGAAACCTGGGCTAGATTACTTTGAGGTGTTTGCGCCTGTAGCTAGGCATGAAATAATCAGACTGGTGATTGCTTTAGCTGCAAACAGAAATTGGCCTTTAATGCATCTGGATGTGAAGTCTGCATTTCTGAACGGTCCATTACAGGAAGAAGTTTATGTGTCACAATCTCCTGGATTTGTGAAAAAGAATCAGGAAGGGATGATATACAGGTTAAATAAAGCTCTGTATGGACTGAAGCAAGCGCCTAGAGCTTGGAATCTGAAAATTGATTCATTTTTCAAGAAGCAGAGGCTTCAGAAGTGTGAAATGGAATATAGAGTTTATGTACAACACTCTGATAACAATATGATTCTGGCGTGTCTTTATGTTGATGACATTTTACTAACAGGTAGTTGCCCAGAAGATATAAAGAAGTTCAAAGAAGTTATGATGAATGAGTTTGTGATGACAGATCTAGGAAAAATGACATATTTCCTAGGGATGGAGATTCTGTACTCGAAGAAGGGTATCATTCTGCATCAGTTAAAATACGAACAAGAACTTTTGAAGAGATTTAAGCTACAAAATTGCAAAGTTGCTGTGACACCATCAGAAACCAATCAAAAATTAGATTCTGACTCTGATGGTGATTCTGTTGATTCTACAACCTTCAAACAATTGGTTGGTTCTCTAAGGTATTTATGTAATACTAGACCTGACATTTGTTATGCAGTTGGATTGGTCAGCAGATTCATGAGTAATCCAAAGTGGTCTCATTTCCAAGCTGTTGTCAGAATTCTGAGATATATCAAGGAAATTTTGAGATATGGAGTATTGTTTCCTTCTGAAAGAAAGACAAAGTCAGAATTAGTAGGTTATTTTGATTCTGACTGGTGCGGAGACATAGTGGACAAGAGAAGTACTTCTGGATACTTGTTTAAATTTCTGGGAGGTCCTATCTCCTGGAGTTCTAAGAAACAGCCTGTCGTGGCTCTGTCAACATCTGAAGCTGAGTATATCGCAGGTGCTGTAGCTGCTTGTCAAGCAGTTTGGCTTCTGAATCTCCTGCATGATCTGAAGGTTGAAGTTGAGGAACCTCTGAAGCTGATGATTGATAATAAGTCTGCAATTGATCTTTCCAAGAATCCAGTGCTACATGGAAGAAGCAAACACATTGAGACGAAGTATCACTTTCTCAGAAGTCAAGTGCATAAAGGAGTGTTAGAAGTTCTGCATTGTAGCACTCAGAAACAGTTTGCAGATCTTCTGACAAAGGCAATTAAAACAGATCATTTTCTTCATTTGAGAGATGAAATTGGTGTTGTTAGTTTATGATAGAATATCTAAATTAATGGATGATATTGGAAATGTAATTTAGTTAATGTCTACGATTCCAATGCTTATTCTTTATTAGGGCCTTTTGCCATTTTCAATTTTAGTATAAATATGTTACCTAGGCTATCAATATTGTAACTTATTCATTCATCTATTTGATATAGAATAGTAGTCCTCTTTGTTATCATTCATTATTCATTCTTCTTCTCCCTTTTATTACCTTGCACCAACAGACATTACGCGGTTACTTTTCATTGATGATTTAGGGAGAATGAAAATAGGAACTTGAGGGAAAAAAACTTACCATGGAGAAACTAACGGGCGACATTCATTTTATTTGGAGAAACTGCTACTGTTTCAATAGGAGTTTAACGAGTTATTTGTATCAATGCTTTTCATTCACAGGTTTCTAACAATACTAGGCAGCATAGGCAAAATAGGGGCAGTATGAATGGCCATGCAGTATCACAGGGAAAGACTCACTCTGGTACATTTATGCCACAAGCCCAGCAAGCTTCTCAGTCAGCGATATCTTCAAGAGAGACAAGTAGTCAGCAGGATTTTTCTCTCTCTTTCCCCTCTTTTTCACTAATTTCACCTTATTATGTTTTGTCCTAACTTAACAATGCTAGTAGATGGTAAAATTTGTCTTCTAAATTATGGACTAAACATAAATGTGTAGGGCAGAAAATCTTAGTGTAGTTAAGAATGCATTCTAATTAAACCGCCAACTAGACAAAATACCTTCGATCAACCACTCATATCGTAATATGAACGTCGTGTCGTTTCAAATCACCAACTTCAGAAAACAATTCTTGCATAATGTGAAAATTGAAATCTAAACATTAATGTTCCAAAGGAAAAAGAACACAATAGCTTTATTATCATTGGTATTCTCATTGGTAAATAATACTCATTGTACAGTAGAGCCAAACTCATAAACAATAATTTTCTTTCTTGGAAACACACCCATACACGCGCAGTCTGAGCACTTCAAAAAAATTTATTCATCAAT